TAGATAGATAGATAGATAGATAGATAGATAGATAGATAGATAGATAGATAGATAGATAGATAGACAGATAGGCACACAGAGATAGATAGATAGATAGATAGATAGATAGATAGATAGATAGATAGATAGATAGATAGACAGACAGATAGACAGATAGGCACACAGAGATAGATAGATAGATAGATAGATAGATAGATAGATAGATAGATAGATAGATAGATAGATAGATAGATAGATAGATAGATAGATAGATAGATGATATTTTCTGATATTTTGATATTTTCTGCACTTCTTACCTTTCTCTCTGGCTTCCCTGCGTTTCTTCTCCTCCAGGTCTAGTTTGCTGAGGAGCCTCCTGTGCTCCTGCAGAGCCTGATCGAACACCATCATGGGGTCCGTCCTCTCCAGAGCCGGAGCCGGAGCCCCAGACTGGCTGAAGACCCTCTGCTGGTTCAGGAAGATCCGCGGGGATTTCTCCAGATCCGGCAGGTATTTCCCAGACTCCGGGACGCTGTTCCCCCGCATGGAAGAGGGCCTGATGTCCTCTTCCAGAGCTTTCGGTCTGGTGTGGCCTGAGAAAGGATGGATGTGGGGCAGAGGCCGGTCTGAGGGCGAGTTGAGGAGGGAGACGGGGTTCCAGAGACTGCTGGGAGTGGATGAGGAGGGGTGATGGTCCCGAGGAACAGCTTTAGGGGTGATGAGAGGAGGTGGCGCCCCCAAGGGTTGAGATAAGTCTCTGACACTCACATCATTACGGTGTGAGCTGTACCTGAAACAGGAGAAAACATTTCTAGAGTGCGCCAGAAGAGGGCAGTGTGATAACATACACCGCCTGCAGTGTTTTATAGGAGATCCCCTTCATCTGTGACCCACCTGTGTCTCTCTCTCTGTGGTTCCACTGGTTCTGCGCTCCGACCACTATCCTGGTGCTTCTCCTGCTGGTGAAACTCCGCTTTCTCCACCTTCAGCGCTGCTCTCTGTCTGGCAAGCCATCGGTCGTCCTCCTCCTGCCACTGGAGCATCATGGGAGTCCCCATGGGCCGGTGGCTTTTCCCAAACTGGAGGCTTGAGGAGAGGCCGAGGCCTGAGGTGGAGAGCGAGGAAGGACCTCCTGAGGACGAGTACGGGCCAGACTGTGGCGCGAGCAGCGACGCTTCTTTGGTTTTGTCTGTATTGAGAGACCAGAGATGCGTAGATGAATTAAACATGTTCTTTTCAAAGTGAAGCAACTGTAAATATTTCATTAATATCTACTAAATATACTAAAAGGAACGTCATGCATTAAATAGTAATAGCAAGGAACAGCTTTTGTCTTCAGAAACAATCTTATTTTGAATATTTGATTTGAGCTTTTTTATTTGTATTTTGTTGTATTTTTATTATTTGTTTTTTATTTCTATTTAGCTTAAATTTATTTTTTATTTCAGTTTAAGTCATTTTAGTAATTTAGCTTAAACTCCTTTATTTCAGTTTGCTTCCTTGGCAACTAACAACTTATTTTTCATTTTAAAAATATTTGTATTTATCTTCATTTTATATTTTTAATGTATTGTTTTTAGTCATTTTAGTACTTAAAATGTTTCTAATTTCCATTTCATTTTTTGTTTCTTTTTTAAAAATATTTGTGTTTAGCTTTACAAATACTAAAATAAAAAAATTAATTAAAGCTAAATAGAAATATTTTTAAAACAAGGCAAGTTGGCATACTATAATTACTCACACTAAACCTGAAATAAAAATAAATTAATTTTAGTACTTCAACTTAAGCTTATTTGATTCAGTTAGGCAACTAACAACTTATTTTATTTTTAAGGTTTGTCAACTTTTTGTTATTTGTATTAGTTTTAAAATATTTCTATTTAGCTTAAAATTATTTTATTTCAGTTTTAGTCATGTTAGTACTTCATCTTATTTCAGTTAGCTGCCAACATTTCTAATTTCCATTTTAAGTTTTTTAATTTTTAGTTTCTTTTTAAAAATATGTCTTTACTAAAACATAAACTGAAATAAAAATAAATAAACTAAATAAAATAATAAAATAAGTTGTAAATATTACAATTGGAAATAAAAAAAACTGAAAGTACTAAAATTGCTATAATTAAAACTGGTTGAACTATTAAAATAAGTTCTCGTTCACGTCTTATTGTGCTTAAACTGTCAAAAACACACAACGTTCACATAAACACAGTCGGTTATGTCTGTGAACGTAAACAGCGGGGAAAGAAATCACATGTTTATTAGATCTGTGTATTAAAGTGAAAGCAGCGTAATATACAGTACCTACATGCTATATATACTGTTAAAATGAATCAAACAACTAAAGAAACAGAAAATCACTCACTCAAATCATTCACTAATAAGAATAAAATTTCTTATTAAAACTTGAACGCTGCCGTTAAAGTGCAAACGGCTTATTCCGAGACGCTACTTATGATTTATGGGGAGGTGGATTTTTTATCATTATTGGGTGGGTTGTGTGCACACTGCCGTCACACATTTATGTTCAAACACCATGTAAAAGTGAATTTAGCATAAAAGTTAAAATTTGTTAAAGGGATAGTAAGGGATAGCAGTAGAGTTTCTTGATTATTACGCAGGAATGAGAGTATAGTTCCTAGTCATATCAGCCTAGAAAATCACAACATCTATATTAGGAGAAATATCGAAACTCTTTGGTAATTTTTTTGGGGAGAAATGCTATTGGTCTTGTTCACTTCAATGATGTATGCTAAGCTATGCTAAAAGTGGTACCGCCAGAACCGGAGATCAGCTGAATGGATTCAAAAGCGGTAAAGCTCAACAGTTTAACTCTGGGGGAGTTGTAAAATGAGCCCATTTCCCCAAAAAAGTGGCGTATCCCTTTAATAGTGTGTTGTTGGATCAGGGCTGTACCCGTTCTGTTAGCAGCGAGTCTGTCCTCGAGCTTGGCTCTTTCCTTCATGTGCTGCCGGTGTGCGTACGGATGAGAGATCAAGTGTTGGTTCGCCAGCGGCTCGTGGCTCAGGTGGCGTTTCTCCATGGCCTTGACCGCCTGGATCTCCCTCCCTCTCTCCTTCTTTATCTCCACCTCTCGTTCCTTCTCTCGTTCTCTGTCCTTCTCTCTCCGCACCTCCTGTTCCCAATGCCTTTCTCGTTCGATTTCACGCGCTCTCTCTTTCTCTCGTTCTCGTTCCCTCTCCTGCTGGCGAAGTTCCTCTTCCATCTGCAGCCTGTGGAGGGTCGAAACACACACACACACAAATGGTGTGAGATGCAACACTCTCAACAGGAACAAGAAGAATAGAGTCCGCAGGAACACAGGAGAGTGTTGATGATGTTTGGAGAAGATGGCGAAAGCGTGTGTGTGTGTCAAGGTGACATGTGAGTGTGATATATATGGGAGAATGTCTTATGCTGATGACGGAAAGATCGTGTGTTTACACGCAATCACCTGCAAAAGAGTTTAACGTTCTGCAAACGAGCATCCATGTGACGTGGCAATTGCCAATGGGAGTGCGTTCACCTGATTTGCATATATAATACAGCATATATATCGAATCTACCAAACAAAGTTTGAATGGAGGCTAAAGTATCTTCATGGAGATTTTTTAAATAATTATATTATTCATTTAATATTATAATAAATAATATTTCAATACAAAGCTCGCCCTTTAACCATTATAATTATTCATTCCATCTTGTATATTACATGTAATCAAATTTAAATTATCTATATAATTATCAAAATTAATCAATTTAAAAATAAATAAAAAAAGGTATAAATATAGAATAGATTATATTACTTTTATTAGAAGGTAGTGCCATATTTAAAACCGCCAATTAGATTTAGTGAGAGAGTGTATTATGCAGTAAACATACACATAAATGTATTCAAAATGTTAAAATATGTAATAATTATATGTAATTAGTTTCATTGAATTAATCTACGTGGATAAAAAAATTTTATCGGGTATTTTTTAAAATTCATGTATAAGGTTTTGATCCACTTCAAATGTTGACTACTGTAAATATAATATATAATAAGAAAATAACATTTTATTAATATAAAATAAAAATTAAATATATAATTTAACATTAAATGTTATTTATTTTGTTATGTTATTTTAATTAGGTATTACATTAAATATAAACAAATTCATATTACATCAAATTTTTTACTTAATAAAGAGATGCATAAAAGGTTAATAAAATGACCAACAAAACAAAGTCTGAATGAAATCCGGAGAAATTACACTACAACGCCAATTGCCTTGCAACCACTTTAATTATAAATTCAATCTTGGACATCCATTATATGTGATGTGTGCATGTGTGCGTCAGTGGTGTGTGTGTGTGTGTGTGTGTGTGTACCTCTCAGAGTGCAGTGCTGACAGGGACTGGTGTGTGAGGTCAGGAGGGTAAAAGACGCCCTGCATGGGCAGGTGGACAGCAGACGGGTGCAGGGTCGGCAGGGCGCCCCCCTCTGGAAGCGGGTAGTAATGCGAGCGCAGGGCCGGCAGACTGTAGAAGTCCTCCATCCTGATCACACACACACATAGAGCAGAGAATTACAGCCTCTAGAAATAACCCGCTTCTTCATTAACCTCTGTTCTCTGGCCCTCCAACATCAACATCACTGCCTATTTCTGTCTCACCTCCCGCATAGAGATGTGCTGATGGGCTTATTTATAACGGAGGACAAAAAAATCTTATCTAGGGATGTCAGAACCATGAGAACATTGACAAATCATTGCCTACTTTTACATATCAATGTCTATTTAGTATTTAGCGTTCATATTTACACCAAAAATCATCAACTTAATAGGTTCAGTGGAAAATGGTCACATATATATATATATATATTACTTATTATATCAAATAAAAGTTGCAAAAACAGCCTCTTTAGTTGGTGTAAAATTATCAAATATATGTAGTACAAATATATGCATAACAATTATGGTAACTAATTAAATATTGAAAAATTATAAGCAATTCATTTCATTAAATGATTATACAAAATGATATACAATTATTAAAATACATCATATAATTTAATTAGTAAACACGTCTGATATAGAATAAATATATACATTTTATTTTAGTTAAAAGGTATATCAGAAAAATAGACTATTTAATTCTTAGGTTTAGTGACAAGGGTTATATTATATTAATAGTATATATTATACGGTATACATATATTAGTGTAATTAAGTATAATATTAAAACAAATTCAATAATTAATAATCATAAAATGAATCATAATTTAATAAAAGATAATACATAATAAAACTGTATAAATATAACAGAAATAACACATTACGATAGGGAAATATTACAGTTTTAAGGTATTTTTTTGGTAAAGGACTGAACAATAGAACATACAAAAAGAACAGACTAATATTTTTCACCATTCAGCATCAGCAAAAGATAAAAATAAATAAATAAAATAAAACGACTGGTAACCAAACATTTGAATCATCTACCACTAACTATCAGAGGACAAATACAAATATAGTTTCATTAAAAATATTGTAATTTGTGTTTCGAAGATGAACAAAAGTCTTACGGGTTTGGAACAACATAAGGGCGAGTAAATGAATTGAACTATCCCTTTAAGACCAATTTTTTTTTTTTTAAACGTGCTCAACATGTTTTTAGGTTTTTCGAAGGTCTAATACAGGAAGGTACTATATATTCAAAAGAACCACCAGAACTACACCACACACCTGTATGAAGCAAGCGAGGGATGGGGCAAATATCCTGAGTGAAAGTACGCGAGAGTGTCGGGTGTGGTTCCTGAGCTGAGCCCTAGAGGGAGCAAAGGCATGCGCAACTCTTCAGCGGAGGCGTACGGGCGAAAGCCATCGCGGAGATACTCCTCCTGCGGAGCTCCTGCGAGCAGCATGTTAGGAACCTGCCGGGACAGGCTGAGAGAGGAAGAGAACAGCAAATGAGGAAAAAACACTATATATATATATAATATATATATATACGCTGTGAGATGAGCCGGCGTGTGAGAACGCGTGAGGTACTGACTGAGCTTGAAGACGAGGGTCTTGAATGAGAGCACTGGGGGTCATGCTGAACGGGTGAGCTGGACCCAGGTATGGAGGGAGAGAGAGGGAGGTCTTCTCCTGGCCGGGTAAAGGACGATCTGGAGCCAAACGCTCCTGGCCGGACACTCTCAATGCTGCATCCGCCTAAATGGGGGAAAACATTCATGGTTAGGGCATCGTGGGAATTTTTTTTGCCGCTATAATAATACGATTGAACACAAACATTTGTTTATATCATATATTGTTATGTCATATTATGTTAATTATATCATTTTATGCATATTTATGCTTCATAATGTAAAGGTATATATGACCATTTACCACCCACTCACTGAACATAAGAATGAAATAGGCTGGTTTTGCTGCTGCTGTACGTTTTATTAAATATATAATTCCCTATGGTGAGTAAGTGAGTGAGTGAGAGCGAGAGAGAGAGTGAGTGAGAGAAAAAGAGAGAGTGTGAGTGAGTGAGAGTGAGTGAGAGAGTGTGAGAGAGTGAGTGTGTGTGAGTGAGTGGTAAGTGAGTGAGAGAATATGCGAGTGAAGTGAGTGAGTGAGTGATTGAGAGCGAGAATAAGTGAGTGAAGTGACAAAGTGAGTGAGTAAATAAGTGAGGAAGTAAGTGAGTGAGTGAGTGATTGAGAGCGAGAATAAGTGAGTGAAGTGACAAAGTGAGTGAGTAAATAAGTGAGGAAGTAAGTGAGTGAGTGAGTGGTAAATAAGTGAGAGAATAAGTGAGTGAAGTGACAGTAAGGAAGTACATGAGTGAGTGAGTGGGTGAATGAATAAGTGAGAAAGTGAGTAGTAAGAGAGTGACTACGTAAGTGAGTGAGGGAGTGTGAGTGAGTGAACGAGTGAGTAAGTAGTAAGTTGGTAGGTGAGTGAGTGAGTGAATGAGTGAGTAGTAAGTTGGTGAGTGAGTGAGTGAACGAGTGAGTAGTAAGTTGGTGGGTGAGTGAGTGAACGAGTGAGTAGTAAGTTGGTGGTGAGTGAGTGAGTGAACGAGTGAGTAGTAAGTTGGTTGGTGGGTGAGTGAGTGAGTAGTAAGTTGGTGGGTGAGTGAGTGAACGAGTGAGTAGTAAGTTGGTTGGTGAGTGAGTGAACGAGTGAGTAGTAAGTTGGTGGGTGAGTGAGTGAACGAGTGAGTAGTAAGTTGGTTGGTGGGTGAGTGAGTGAGTGAGTAGTAAGTTGGTGGGTGAGTGAAGGAGTGAGTAGTAAATTGGTGGGTGAGTGAGTGAACGAGTGAGTAGTAAGTTGGTGGGTGAGTGAGTGAGTGAACAAGTGTGAGTAGTAAGTTGGTTGGTGGGTGAGTGAGTGAGTAGTAAGTTGGTGGGTGAGTGAGTGAACGAGTGAGTAGTAAGTTGGTTGGTGGGTGAGTGAGTGAGTGAGTGAGTAGTAAGTTGGTGGGTGAGTGAGTGAACGAGTGAGTAGTAAGTTGGTGGGTGAGTGAGTGAACGAGTGAGTAGTAAGTTGGTTGGTGGGTGAGTGAGTGAGTGAGTAGTAAGTTGGTGGGTGAGTGAACGAGTGAGTAGTAAATTGGTGGGTGAGTGAGTGAGTGAGTGAGTGAGTGAACGAGTGAGTAGTAAATTGGTGGGTGAGTGAGTGAGTGAACGAGTGAGAAGTAAATTGGTGGGTGAGTGAGTGCCGTGTCGTCTTTGAAAAGAGATTAAACTGAAGTCTGTGCTCTAAAGCATTAAAGATTTACCACAGTTTGGGTTGTAAATTAGATTTTCAGGTCTACGCTCAAAAAGTGACTAAATGGATTATAAATAAAGCGTAAATATAAGTTTAGTATAAAAGAATCCACAAAAAAACCCCTCATTTTTAAATAAAAAAACATTTTCAAACTAAAATATAATACATTCATTTCAATGACAAATTCCGGTCATTTTTGACCGACGCATGAAGAGCACCAGAGGGTTAAATAAATCATCCAAGGTGATTTACTAAGGTTTGCGCTAGCTAATTTACTGGTATTTGCACCATTATTTACCACCCAAAAAACCCCCCATGTCTTAAAGCAGACGCTAATTTGCACTTCTCATTATTGAAATAATCCGGCTGCGTCCGTGTTCTTTCATTTGTGCGTCCCGGGAAGATCACACGCAGAAATTTACACTCCCATTAAATCTTTTTATGGGATTGATCTCTCACACTAATTTGCCCTGTTTAGTCAATCTGACTTAATTCAGTTTCAAATAGGTGCCAAATATAGAGTATAGATGAAACAGCAAGCGTGTGCGTGTGTGTGTGGTCGAGAGACAAGCATGGCTTAAAGCTGAGTCCAAAGCATTGGTCCCTCCATCCTCTCTCTCTCTCTCTCTCTCTCTCTCTCCCTCCAGGCAGAGCTACAGAAGACTCTTTGTGTAAACAGAGAGAGGGTAGTTTGATCAGGGGAAAGTGTCTATTGTCTCCTTCTGATGTCCCCTGATTGCAGTGCTAAATAAACTCAAAGCCACACAGAACGAGAGCTGAACAAACCATCCATCCGAATCCACACACACATTCTGGCATGATCTTGCGGTCGCGCCTGAGAGTCACCGAAATAATAGACATGCAGGACACCCACAGATCAACCCATTTGCACTAATCCAGCCCAATTTAAACCCTGCGACCCCATCAGGATCTCAATCCCTCTTCAGAGTGGGACCTGCGGTCAAGCCCTCCTGACCACACACACATAATACCAGCCCTGAGGACCGAGAGGCCTGGAGAGATGTTTCGCTTTGTATTGATTGGCAAAGATGAAGGAAAAGGGAAAGAAAAGTCTCAGTCGTGACCATACGGTTTTCATTTTCGCAAACCAAACGAATGACCTCACACATGGCAGACTAGTCGCAACTCTTTTGTGCTCATGTCAGACAACAGTTTATTTGAAAGGAAATAAAAAAATAAGGGAATAAAGCACAAAACTTAAATTCCAAGATTTTAGGACACCTGAACATCTCGGAAGATTTAAATATGCATGACTGACTTTTTTCGTCAAAATAAAACGGACTTGCTCTTTCTCTTTGCACTTGTAACGACGTAAAATCAAATAATGCACAATAACTGTTTGTAATGTCAACTTTTAGAAACACACTAGCATATATAAAGCTCATTTTATCTTCATACCTGACGGGCTTCAGACCTCCAAAACCCATTGACTGTTTTAGTTGGGGCGATGGTGACCACAGGCGGGGTGCCTGTAGGCGGGACCAGGCTGGTACCCATGGCAACTCGCTTAGGCGTACTGACAGGAGAAATGTGATTGGTCACCGGGGAGGAAACATGCGATGACTCGCTACTTATAGAACCTGAAAAAGAAAAGACGGGATGAATTTTGAATTTTGTACAATTTTAGTTTTCAATTGTAGTCTTTTAAGAAGGCATCTGAAATGATAAACTAAGTGCAATGTAGTGTTGTCAAAAACATAGATTTTTCGATACATGGATAATGAAAAATCGGAAACACTTCCAATACTGATTGATTTTTATTTATATATATATATATATATATATATATTAGGGCTGTCAAACGATTAATCGCAATTAATCGCATCCAAAATAAAAGTCTGTGTTTACATAATATATATGTGTGTAGTGTGTATATTTATTTGTTTATATTTAAGAAATATTTTCATGTATATACTGTATATATAATTATATATAATTTATATAAAAAAAATTCTTAAATATGCATGCATGTGTGTGTATTTATATATACAAAATAATTATACACAGTGCACCCACATATATTATGTAAACACAGACTTTTATTTTGGATGCGATTAATCGTTTGACAGCCCTAATATATATACACATATGCATATACATACACATATAACACACATATATACATACTATATACATACATACATACTCATGACCACACCACACATTATATTGATACATTATCGAATATAATTAATTTAATACATAAATTAGATTCAACAATCCTGAATTTTCCACAGCTCAACGAGCCGTTAGTACATGTGGTAAATATTAATGTTTCTGACTTACAAACGTACGTTTCTGACGAATAACAGCGACGTTCTGTGTCCTCTGAGAGGGACGTATAATAACATCAGAGCCAACAACAGACTATCCAGACTAGTAGAAGAGGCAAAGAAAGGGGGATGTATTTGTACGTGTGTGGATGCCAGACAGAACTAACAACTTGTCAGATGAAGTGAACATACATCATCACGTCCCTGACTGCCAACCTCGCCGCTATCAAAGCCCCGTTGGCCTGTCAGATCAGATGCCAGTTTAAAGAGATAAAGAAACAAACACTGCCATCTCCCTGCGGTAAACACACATGAACACACACTCATTCCTCCAAACCCCCATACAGCACTTTACTGTGATCAAAGACCATTTGAGAGTGTGTGTGTGTGTGTGTAACATGCACACATGCATATCTGCGTTGTCTAAGACACTCTAAAATCTAAAACAAAGACATTCTTTGTGTCTCACAACAAGAGAAAATTTACATATAACGTAACGTTTCTAAGTCACATTTGATAAAAGCAGCTGCTAAATGAATAAATGTATATGAATATTCAATACACAGCGCTCTGGTATACAGTGTTTCATTCTAATTGGTCAATATCAGCACCGAACAATCAAATATGTTTGTATAATATCGGCTTAATAGTATTTAGTCCATAGTGATTAAACGGCTTTAATTTTTCTCATATCATTCTACAGTCTCTCTATATCAAATCAAATTATATAATTAATTGCTACTAATCTACTGCAGTAAAAACAGCCCTGGAGGACTTTGGTATTTATTTTTTGATTATGAACTTTAGCGATTAAACAAAAATGTCACTTGAAACAACAAGACATAATTAAAGACCTGGAGGAGAGAGGAAGACATAAATATGAGAGCTTGATCACTGTAAAAAAAAATAAAATAAAAAAATAATAATAATAATAATTAAAAAAAAGTTTTTTTAAGTACAATCAACTTGGATGTTTAAGTAATTTCAACTTAAATTACATTAAATTATTTTTTTTTTGAGTTTTTCTAAGTTAAATCAATGTAAAAATGTGTTGTCATAACTTACTGATCATAACTTTTTTTTTATTATTGCAGATTAAAAATGTATATAATGCATAGATGAATCTTTTAATATTGTAACAGTGTTCTAGTTGCTGGGCAGATTACTCCCTGCATCGCAATCCTGGTTAAATTGGGATTTTAAAAGTGATTAAATCATTAGTTCACATCCATGTATTTATCTATTAGCCAATGGCAACTACAGCAGTGTAATAAGCAGTATAATGTACAGCGAGATACGAGATCTAGTCATCCTTGCGATAATGAACGTCTGACTGTACATGATCCCCTCCATAATATGCACTTTTCGTTGTTTCGATTGCAGCGAGTGTGTGTGAGAAATGACTTTTCCTCATTAAGACAGAAACCTACACAAGGCTTGAAAACCACACAAGCACAGAAAAAAAACCCTATTGCCGCTAAAAGCAGTATCTATATAAGACACCCAACACAAAGAGTAAAGTAGGTCAGCCCTCCTTGGAGCGCTTGTGTCTGCCGGAGAGCTGATAAGAAGTCAATACTCTGGGTTTTGTACTTCTTCACTCCTTTTGTGTTCAATTTTGCTTTACTCTTTAACATACCTGCTAGATTTCTACCTAGAAATCCCTGACAACTAAATGGTTTATACAAAGGGAAGTGCCGATACTATTGCCAAAAACGTATGGTTAGGGGATTTTATAAGAGAAATAAACTTGTCCTGCACTGTTTATGCTATGGACATATATGATAACTCACATTGTGGACTTCTTGTAGTTCAAATCTACATTTTTTGCTTTGTAAACGATAATACGGGTGGAAAAATACCCAAAACTTACGTTGAAAGTGTGACTAGTGACTAATTGTCTTGAATGTGCACATGTAGTGTATAGTATTTTTCAAAACTTTTCCTAGCAGAAAATATAATATTGATGAAATAAAAGACCATTTAAGTATTAAAGTACAGTTTCTTTACACACTTACTTTAAGTACACTTAAACGTTTGAATTTTAAATAATTGTTTTAGTCATTTAGAAGTATCGATTTGACTTATTTCGATGTAATACTAGAGCACATTAAAAAATTAAGCCTTTTTTTAATTTACGCAATTTGATAAACAGTCAAATTCCATCAAATGAAACGGAATAATTGATTTAGGATTATTCAATTATTCAATTAAACTACTTAATTTGATGGAACTTTGCTATATCAAATTGTGTAAATTAAAAAAAAAAGATTAATTTTTTGAGTGTGTAAAGTACATGATTAATTTAACTGTTATTCAAGATTACATTTAAAGTTAATGTATTTTATAAAATACAAATATATTTAAGTGCATGGCACATAAGTTTCAATAAAAAAAATACATTTTAGTTTACCATAAATTCTTGTCAAAACATTCAACATAAGCCTTTAACCATATTTCAATAGAGGTAATTATTAATAAGAAATTGCACATTCAGATGTACTTAGGATCTCCTTAAATGGGTCAAAGAGGGAATAAGTTCAACTGCATTTAAAATAAATGTAAACTACAATGAATTTTATTTAATTATACATAACATGCAATAACACATTCAATTCACATTTTGCACTTAAGTATATTGGTATATAGATATATTTTTTTATAAGTGCTCTTTTTTAAAAGTTTTAACTTATCTAGTTTTCCTTTACTCTTTTATACATTTACTATATCTGAACGCTCTGGCAATATTTTAATTGTTTACAGTCATGCTATCAGTCAAACCCTTGAGGAAACAGAGAAAGTGAGAAAAAGAAAGTGAGAGAAAGTAAGTTGAGAAAATACATGTATTTGGGTTGGTGGTGGGGGGGGTCAGTTATGTACTACTACAAGCATCAACAAGAACACATTCACAAAAGCATGTGTGCATATGGAGAAGCACACACACACACACACCAAAAGCCCCAAAGCCACCAAAGCCTTAAACAAAAGACAGCTTTTCCAAACAGGCTTAGCAATCTGAGACAGAGCATTGACTGTCATTGAATTACCCTAGTCAAAGAGTGTATGAATGCATAAAGTGGTGAGCAAAGGCAGAGCAGTATGCACAGTGTGATAAACTCACAGAGACAGCAGTAAAAAGACACTTAGAGAAGGTCTATAGAAATCACTGGCATACAAGCTCTTAACCAATCAATATAATCCCTTTCTCTCTGTCTCGTAGCCTTAGAGAGAAGAATATCATGATCACTCACAATGGATCATGTCGATAAACACATGGCCAAACCACGTATTCTTGAGAAAGCTTTAGACAGTGTTAGATCATTTAGGATGCTTGTTGAACAGCTTGTTTTTCTTCACAGCATAATGCAATTTAATAGCTACTTTCACTTTCAACCCATGTTTGTTTTTTTGTTTTTTTGTTTAATTTAAGTTGAAAAAATTGACAGCAACAATTTTGTAGATCTTACACGCCACGCCAAGACAACAGTAGAAAACACTGTCTGAGAACTTGATATTGTATGTAATAAGCATTATCAGACTTTTTGTGTAAGAGTGTGTGTGTGTGTTTTTATTTTGGCGTTGACTACAACAATTACACAGACAGATGGGCAGCTGAATGTTGTGCCAGCCATCTGAAATGCTGCAAACCCATATGCAAATATTATTCAAATCTATTCACAATTTGTTGACAGAAAGCACCACCCACACTCATACACACGCTGAGCGAAGAATGGATGTCCATATTACACGCATACATATGGTGGTGTGCTTGTTTACATTCTGCATTAAACGACTTAATGCAACTACGCAAGTGGTAATTACACAACAATGCATAATATAGAAGTGTCAATGTAAGTGGTGGATAATGTTGTTAAAAAAAACTAACAAAACAAAACAATCAAAACAAAGCAAAACACACAAAACAATACAAAACAAAAAGCAAAACAACAAACAAAACAAAACATAGCTAAACAAAAAGCAAAACAAAACAAAAAATAGCAAAACAAACCAAACAAAACAGAAAAACAAAAAGCAAAACAAAACAAAAAGCAAAACAAAACAGCAAAAAAAAAAAATAAACAAAACAAAACATAGCAAAACAAAACGTAGCAAAACAAAAAGCAAAACAACAAACAAAACAAAACATAGCAAAATCAAAAAGCAAAACAAGCAAAAAAAAAACATAGCAAAACAAACAAAACCAAACATAGAAAAAAAAGCAAAAGAAAACAAAACAAAAAGCAAAAAAAATAGCAAAAAAGGAAAAATAAACAAAACAAAACATAGCAAAACAAAAAGAAACACAAATGAAAACAAAACAAATCAGACAAACCAATCAAAATAGACACAACAAATATAAATAAACGCAGTCACAAAACTAATCAGACAAACAAAACAATGTAAAAAACAAAATGTAAACAAAAGAAAATGAAAACAAATTACAAAACAAATCATACAAACAAAACAAGACAAAACAGAAATAAACAAACTAAATGAAAACATGGTCACAAAAAAAAATCAGAAAACAAAACAAATTACAAAAAAACAAAAAAAACAAAGCTCAAATAAATGAAAGCAAAATCAAAGCAAATCAGGAAAAAAAAAAACAAATATCTGCCACGATTCCTCTCTAAATAAACAAAAACTGCTCATGCTTTTAAAAAGACCTACTTTATAGAAACAGCCAAGTTAAGCTCTGCTGAGGGACTACAGGGACATATTGCCTTTTCATCCAGACATCATGTGTGAGATGATAAAGAGAAGAGCGTGAGGACTGATGGGTTCAGAGGAGAGGACACACTCACCTCGTGGCTCTTCGGCCTGCTTGGCGAGCTTGCGGAGGGCGGCAGCGAATCCGGACTGGGACGCCGGGCTCCCGCTGATGGGGGACGGAGCGAGGGGGCTTACAGTGGCCATGGTGCATGGTGCCGCCGAGATCATTCCTAAAGCTGGGGACTTCGGCTCATGGCTCATACCTGCGGGGAGAGAAGGACAGACAAACAGATTCAAAATGAATATTCACACAGCGTTAAACCCGAACCCAGTCAAAACAGCCTCGAAATTAAGATTGATTTCAAATCGATCACTCTAGTTTTATTTCCGCTCAAAGCAAGTGGAACCAGTGTGTGTGAAACAGGTTCTATCCAAATAAAAATACATTACAAGTTCAATAACAATGAATTACACAAACTGATAATGCTATAAATTTGCATGCGTTGCATGTAATGATTTAGCCCCTGATACATTAAGTGGTTTGGAACTGATCCAAACGCAGCCTGAAGAATTCAACTATGATGAGGTCAAACCACCAGTATGCAAATGGTTTTACATTTTAAAGTTATTCATATAGTAGATTATCCCAGTTGTATCCAAAGTGGAATGCTACAACTGAAGCGACTCATTCCTAAAGTGACGGTAACATTAGAAGTGCTGGAAAACAAAGTTCAGAAATTGGCAAGAAAAGTACAAGCCACTTCAGAAATGCAGGTTTGACAAAAACAAGACAAACGTGTGTGTGTGTGTGTGTGTGTGTGTGTGTGTGTTTTAATAACTGAAGGGGAGAATAGAGAATACTAGGTGCACTGTAATAAAAAAATGTGTTAGGTCACCCGGTATTTGCTACATTTACATTAAGAAGTTTCAAAACCATTATTTAATCTGACTACATTTTTGGACTAAATCCAACACATTTGAAAGTGAATTTTACATGTTAAGTTCCAACTCTAAAGTGTGAGGGTTTTACAGCTTACTTCCTTTGTGTATCTCTCTCTCACACACCTCCAGCTATCACTCACTGCCAGCGTCTCTAGCAGAAACAAACAAACGCGTGCTTTATCGTGATAAACTGTGCCTCACCCCTTGCCCTTCTGCTGAACCGAGCAAAACAATTAATAATGAACTTAGAGCAGTTAGGAGAGCTGGCAGGAGCATCCTCCGCCATCAGACACAACTTCATTACAACTTAATGGAGCCAAACGCATCCAAACACGCAGAGGAACGGAACATAATATGTCCTGTAGTTGAACTGAACAGATTCATCTGGATAATCTTAAATAACGCTGGAATTCAGGCTAAATGGAACATAATAAAAAATAATTATAATAATAACTTCCAAATGGTAATGGTCAATTAAGAATCTATCTATCTATCTATCTATCCATCCATCCATCCATCCATCCATCTACCCATCCGTCTATCCATCCATCCATCCATCTACCCATCCATCTATCCATCCATCCATCCATCCATCCATCCATCTACCCATCCATCCATCCATCTACCCATCCATCTATCCATCCATCCATCCATCCATCTACCCATCCATCCATCCATCTACCCATCCGTCTATCCATCCATCCATCCATCCATCCATCCATCCATCCATCTACCCATCCATCCATCCATCTACCCATCCGTCTATCCATCCATCCATCCATCCATCCATCCATCTACCCATCCATCCATCCATCTACCCATCCGTCTATCCATCCATCCATCCATCCATCTTCCCATCCATCTATCTATCTATCTATCTATCTATCTATCTATCTGCCTATCTACCCATCCATCCATCCATCCATCCATCACTGCATCTATCCGCCTATCCGCCTGTCTATCGGTCTGTAAAAAAAAATAAAAAAAATGGCCCTTTAACAGTTTTCATAGAGAAAACAAAACAGTGAACTTGTGAACAAAAAAATAAAATAAAAAGGCTAAATAAAATAAAGAAAAAATAATAATAAAACCCCAAACCAAAACAGGTATGGTTAAATGAATTAAGAATCTATCCATCTAATGGATCTTTATATACATTATGCAAAGAGGCTTCATTAAAAGCTGAGCAATGATCCTCATATATAGGATAATAATCAAGCGCAGCATTATAACTGAGACACTATTCTCCCTGCCATTAGGAGAACCGCCATTTCAGTCGCTCTCCAGTCCTGCTAGGGGCTTATCAATCAAATCATCATATCATGTGCTCTTCAAAAACACAGCTGACTCGCGTCCACTCATTTGCGTGTCACAAACAGACCTCTTCTCTTTATCTCCCTCATTCTCCTTCTCTTGACAAACATTCTCAATAATTCTGCTACTGAACCCATATGCGTACCCCACCCCCTTCCTCTCTTCTCTGCTGCTCACACTTTCCCTCCTGGATAGTGCCAGTCAGAGATAACAGAGAGTCTCTGGTCGCAGTGGAAATGAGAAAAGCCACAGGTATTTTACGACACACACACAGCCCACCCAACACAGACGAGCGGAGAGTGATTTATAAGCAGTAATTTCAAGGAGTGGGAGCGAGATAACATTTATTTCCCCTAGGATGCCTTAAATAAGGTGGCCAAGAGAACTCAACACATGAAAATAGAAAAAACGGCAGCAATTTAAGAAAACACCTTAATCAGTTTGACAACACATGCTCACAATGCAAATAAATACCAAAACGCGCTACAAATACAATGCAACCAAATACAGAATTGTGCTGCAAATACTCACAACACAACCAAACACAGAAACACACAGCAAATACTCACAACGCAACCAAATACAGAAACACACACACAGAAACACACTGCAAATACTCACAACACAACCAATTACAGAAACACGCTGCAAATACTCACAACGCAAATAAATGCAAATAAAGACCGAAAACGCGCTACAAATACAATGCAACCAAATACAAAAACACACTGCAAATACTCACAACGCAACCAAACACAGAAACACACACACAGAAACGCATTGCAAATACTCACAACGCGACCAAATACACAAACACAACACACTGCAAATACTCACAATGCAACCAATTACAGAAACCACTGCAAATACTCACAATGCAACCAAACACAGAAACACACACAGAAACACATTGCAAATACTCAAAACACAACCAATTACAGAAACACTCTGCAAATACTCGCAACGCAAATAAATACCAAAACACGCTACAAATACAATGCAAACAAATACAGAAACACACTGCAAATACTCACAACGCAACCAAACACAGAAACACACACACAGAAACACATTGCAAAAACTCACAACGCGACCAAATACAGAAACACACTGCAAATACTCACAATGCAACCAAACACAGAAACACACACACAGAAACACATTGCAAATACTCACAACGCAACCAATTACAGAAACACAGTCACACTGCAAATACTCACAATGCAACCAATTACAGAAACACACTGCAAATACTCACAACGCAACCAAACACAGAAACACACACAGAAACACATTGCAAATACTCAAAACACAACCAATTACAGAAACACTCTGCAAATACTCACAATGCAGATAAATACCAAAACACGCTACAAATACAAGGCAAACAAATACAGAAACACATTGCAAATACTCACAACGCAACCAAACACAGAAACACACACACACACAGAAACACATTGCAAATACTCACAACACGACCAAATACAGAAACACACTGCAAATACTCACAGTCACAATGCAACCAAACACAGAAACACACACACAGAAACACATTGCAAATACTCACAACGCAACCAATTACAGAAACACAGTCACACTGCAAATACTCACAATGCAACCAATTACAGAAACACACTGCAAACTCAATACAACCAAACACAGAAACACACTGCAAATACTCACAACGCAACCAATTACAGAAACACACCGCAAATACTCACAACACAGCTGATTACAAAAACACACCGCACCACAACACACAAAAGTATCTATGGCAAGTATATATGGTACGATTCCACTTTCATATAGATTACCTTTCCAGTTTCCACCACATTGTTTTAGCTGAACCCATAGAGAGAAGCATTTCAATCTCTCACTAAACTATATTTTTGCTCTGACAACACAAAACATTGCTGCTTCAATGCAGTTTTTAGCATGACCTACAACCTTATTAAAGGAGTTAATTAGTCTGGCGTGTTTAACAAAATATTCCACAACATTGCACATCCATTCACACAGAGACACCCCTACACCTCAAACTACCACATAAGTGTTTTAATCCCTGATCAAGCAGGATTACTGTAGGCCTGTGGCTTATTAACTTCACACCTTTGAGTATAGTCACATATACAAACACTGACTAAAATCATCAGATCTCTAGCTTGCCAAGAATGAATGGCCAAACCTTTAAAATGGCTCTCTAAAAGCACCCAAGGCTTGTTATGTGAAGATCTCCTCTCTCTCTCTCAAAGATAAATCCTGCTGTGCTGTTTTTCCCAGAGGCTTTAGTTGTGGTAGAGTCAGCAAAAAACAGTCCCACAGTCTTCTGCTCCCCACTGGCTCTCTAATAAGCTTGTTCATTAAACAGTACAGCCAATGCAAATTGACCCAACCCTTGTCGACATGACCGGCTCATGTAAATTCAATGGGAGAAACAGCAGGGATAAAAGACTGGGTGATGGATGATGTGTCAAAGTGCTTTGTTGGCCACAAATGAACACACTCACACACATGCATGTCCATAATGATGACAGACAAGCATTGATGCATGAGCGACTACAGAGATCTGCTACCCTCGGCATTCATTAAGACCTCACACACACCTGCCTCCTGCTCATTAACCCATGCGTATGTGCACGTTTCACTGACAATATTAAAGATGGATGAGGAAGACGGTACTCATACTTCCAGAGAGAAATTCACTAATAGGTTTAGACTTCAATAGAGATTGATAACTAGAGAGAATGTTGACCACAATGCCACTGATCACAAAGGGCGTGAAGGTTGAAGACATTAGAGCGATGAGTAAGTCCCGAAACAACTCTACTTGCCATCAATGAAGCCCTTACACTAGCCTTGAATGTCCTTGATTAACTTTGTATTGATTTTCCTGGATCTGTCTGCAGTAATTTACACTTATCCACAACCTGTAGATCTCAAAGCTGATTTAGCACATTTCGGACTGTATTTTCTTGGGATAACAGGGCTTCCCAAGTTACAGTAC